GCATTTTCGATAAAGTGTATGCTAGGGATGTATGCAGTATCTTTGGTTTGGGACGCATGATTATGTTCAAAAAATCATTAATTAGAATTTTCATTTTATAGAATTTCATTTATCACAATTACTTTCAAGTCGAATTTTTATTTATTCTAATTAGTATTTTGCAGAATTTTCATCAAAACAATTTTCTATATTACAGAATTTTTAATTGTTCGAATTTTCATTTAACATAATAGGCATTTTAAAGAATTTTTATTGGGTAGAATTTCATTGCATAGAATTTTCTTTCGGATGAATTTTCATTTGTTCAAATTATTATTTGATATAATTTCCATATAACCGATTTTGCATACTACATAATTTTTACTTAACCAAAAAATCATTTAACAAAATTTTTAATTGATGAAATTCTAATTTGTCCAATACTCTGTAATATAGAAAACCGTTTTTGATGAAAATTCTGCAAGATTCATTCAAATTGATTATTAATTAATAATTAATTTTCCAGAAAATATTATAAAGTTGTTATAAATAATACATTTAAATTATTTCTAGCTAAAAAAATTGTTGCGATGAGAAAATAATTTTTTTGACAATTTTTCTCTGTAAAAAATGTTTATTATCTAATTATTAAATTAATTAATTAATTAATTAATTTTTTACAGTGAAAATTTGTACAAAAAAAAATTATTTCTAGCCCAAAAAAATTATTGCGATGAGGAAATAATTTTTTTGACAATTTTTCTCTGTAGAAAAAAGTTAATCAACTGATTAATTCAAAAATTAGTTAATAAACTTTTTTTTCTCTGTAGAAAAAAATTAATTACATAATTAATTGAAAAATTAGATAATTATTTTTTTCTCTTTGAAAAACTGTCAAAATAATTATTTCCTCATCGCAACATTTTTTTGGGCTGGAAATAATTAGGTGAATAATTTTTTTACAGATAAAAATTGTAAAAAAAATATTTTCCTTATCGTAACAATTTTTTTGGGCTAGAAATAATTTAAATATATTATTTTTAATAATTATATAATATTTACCGAGTAAAATTTAGATAAGGTCATCAATAAAATTTTTAAATAATTAAAAGATAAAAACAAACGAGTATTGAACATCAGACTACAAATTTTTTTAGCTAACCGTTTTCCCGTTATAGAATTTTGAAAATTGGAGAATTTGGGCAGATCACTTTTCGCCGCCAACTCATCCCCGTGTACCTGCTCAGCGGCAAATTTTCGTCCCCGTATGTTTCCCCACTACCGGCCGTACTATACCCCTCCGTTCAGCCAGACGGCAACTTTTTCGACTTTTTTTTACATTAAAAAAAAAAAAATTTAATAAAATACATTTTTTTAGTACAAAATGTAGATCTTCTTCAGATCTTCTTCAATTCAATTATTTAACAAATTTTGAACTAAAATAATTTTTTTTTTTTTTTTTTTTTTTTAAATATGCTTTATTAAACATCTACAGATGCTTATTAGCTACACATGTAACTTTTCTAATGAAATACAAATCATAAATTTAATGTAGATTGTAATTTTAAGGAAATGACATAATTATAAAGAAAAAATACAACAGAAAGAAATAGAAAATGGAATGTTTTAAATTTTTAAGTTTGATTCCTTTATGAAGATACTTATGGCTCTAATAACTGCAGGGTTCATGTCATAAAGAATGCTTGTAATGTTTATTGGCAGTTGATAGAACTTTTGTATCTTCTTCATTAGTTTCACTCTTGTGTCATCATATTTCGAGCACTGCCACAGGACGTGATCGATGTTTTCTTCTGGGTGTCCGCAATCACAAGATGGGTCGTCCTTTATATTAATTTTAAAAAGAGAGGAAGCCAGATGATAATGGTTCGCTCTCACTCGATTGACCCACACTATTGTCTGTCTAGCTAAGTTGAATTTTTGAAACCAGGTTGTAGAAGTGTCTTTAAAATGTAACTTAAAATAGTCTACACCTTTCACTCTTCCCTGTTCTTTCAATTGGGTGATCGTTTTAGTTGAAGCGTCCTTTTTAAAAATTGGTTTAAAGTCAGTGTAAGGTATTTTTGTAATTATTGGGTTGACGTCTTCTGTAGCTGACTTAGCAATTTCATCAACTTTGTCATTGTCCTCTATGCCTACATGTGAGGGAATCCAGAAAAATTTCAATTTTCTGGATTCAGGAGATTTTTCAATAAATTCGTTATATTTTCGTTTGATTTCCAAAAGATGAGTATTTACTTTTATTTTCAGTTGAGGATGGCTCAAAGTTTGCAAAGCACTTAGACTGTCTGAAAATATATAGATATCGTTTTCTGGTAATTCCAGTGCAATATTTAATGCTTCTTTTAATGCTATGCACTCTGCCGTATATATGGATGCATGTGTGTTTATACTTTTTGTAATTTTGATTTCCAATTGAGGACAGTAGCAAGCAGCTCCTACGCAGTGCGCATCCTTAATTTTGCTTCCATCAGTAAAAATCGATATCACTTTTTGTGAATTGTGATTGATTAGATCTTTTATAATTTCTGGATGTCCTACATTTTTTATTGAAGTACCAATTGTCGTGTCTAAAAGGATGGGTGTGATTATTTGTTTGAATGGATAGTTATAAATTATTTTTAATAATTTTAATGAAATTCATCACAAATTCAATTATTTCAAAATTATTTATTAAATAAAATTTTTATGAAATTTAACAATTGTTTATAATTTTAAAAAAATATCACAATAAAATTGAATTATTTTCAAAAATTCCAATTCAAAATAAACTAAAATTTAATTATTACCCAAAATTTCAATTAAAAATCAATTAAAATTCAATTATTATCCAAAATTTCAATTCAAAATCAAAGAAAATTCAATTATTTTCAAAAATTTTCAATTTAAAATCAAATAAAATTCAATTGTTACCCAAAATTTCAATTCAAAATCAACTAAAATTCAATTTTTTTCCAAAATTTCGAGTCAAAATTAATTATTATTAAAATTTTCAATCAACAATCAACTAAAATTAAATTATTATCAAAAATTTCAATTCAAAATCTAAGAAAATTAAATTAAAAATTAAATAAAAAATTCATTGTGCTGGAGAAGGGGAAGGGGGAAGTGGAAAACACATGCAGTCAGACTGAACGGAGGGGTACAGTACGGCCGGTAGTGGGGGAACATACGGGGACGAAAATTTGCCGCTGAGCAGGTACACGGGGATGAGTTGGCGGCGAATCGTGAATCATGTCTCTATTATTTTTTTACCTTAAAACAACACGTAATAACCTTCAAAAAAACCTACCAATATAACCTAAATTGCAAAAGACTAAGAACAATCAATTTTATTCCATTTTTTGGGATAAAATGTTTTCCTGGAAAATGTATAAATTCCATAAAAATTCAAATAAAATTAATCAGCATGTCTCTATTATTTTTTTACAATATAACAATAATTATTTATTTAAAAAATTGAATAATAATCTGCTTTTTAGTTATTATTATTAACAACATTGAGATAAGTAATTTGAAAAATTCTCCAAAAACTGCTTTTTTAAAAGTGCTTTTGGAAAATTCAATTTATATGTATTTTTTTAATAAAAAAGAATAATTATTTATTTAAAAAATTGAAAACTAATTCAATTGTTAAATATTACGTTTCACAATTTTTAAATTTGCAAATAGCAAAATTAGGAAAAAACTGCATTTTTGTATGTTTTTTTTTAAAAAAAAGTAAATAAACAACAACAATTTATTGTTTAATTAGTAATAAACAATTCTAATTATTATTTATAATAAAATTAATTTATGCTGTTCTTTCCAAAAATGGCCTTCGAATAAGCAATTCGTGTACTTTTCCTTACTTGTGACAACCAACTTAAACATTGTTTAAAAAACGTTTTAAACACAAAATTTTGAATTTTCCGCACATAACAGGCAGAGTCTATGTTATTCTGAACATTTTCCAAAAGGTTTTTTTAAAAAATATTCAAAATTGTGCTTTTCAAATCTAAAAAATGCCATAATTTAAAATATTTTCAATAGACAATTCTCTAAAATGCAATTATTGTCTAAACTTTGTAAAAAAATCCATCAATTTAAATTTATGAAAGATTCACTTTATAATCTCCTAAAATTCAATTATTTCCAAAAAGTTTAACTTGAACTCCTCCAAAATTCAATTGTTTCTAAAATTATTTACAAAATTAATTATTTCTAATGAGTTTAATCAACATTTCCAAAAGTTTAATAATTTTTAACATTTTTCAATTGAAAATTCTCTAAAAGTCAATTATTATCAGAAGCTTATAAAAAATCTTTAACAATTCAAATTTATGAAAATTTTAATTAAAAATGTTCTGAAATTAAATTAATTCTAAATATGATAAATTCAATTTTTTCAAATATATTCATTATTTCTAAAAAAAATTTATAAATTAATTTCTTATAATAATATAATAATTATTGTTTAAAATTTTGTTAATAATTTTCAATGATCCAATTTACAACAATGTCAATTATAAATCTTCAAAAACTAAATTATTTCTAAAATTTTTCGCTAAATTAATTTTTTAGAATAATGTTTTAATCAACATTTTCGAAAATTTAATTATTTTTAATATTTTTTAATCCATAATTCTGTGTAAGTGAATTATTATTAGAAGCTTATAAAAAACTTCAGCAATTCAAAACAACAATTTTAAATAAAAGTCTCTAGAAATTCAGTTATTTCTAAAAATTTTATTTGCAAGTTTTTAAAGTTACCATTATTTCTAAATTGTTTATTAAATTATGTCTTCAATTACATTTTAATTAAATTCTTCGAAAATTTAATTGTTTAAAACATTTACTAAATTTCTCAATTCGAATATTTTGCATAAATTAAGCTTCGAAAATTTTTATAAAGACAGTATTTTTTAATTATTTTTTAAAATTTGGAATTGAATTCTTGAAAATTTGTTTTTCAGTTCAATTCTGAAATATTGTTTTATTTGCCTAATATCGTATATGATTTTCAGAAACTCAGAATAATGTTGAAAATTTTATGTCATCACGAAACGGCAAGAGAATGATAATTCCGACTTTAAACAATATGGACTCCCTCTCTGACACAGATTCGGAAAATAATAAAAAAAAAAGTTTTAAGCGCAAGGTACGCATAACACAAATCTTATTCATGAGAGATTCCATGTGAAGTGATCCAAGGGAGAACACTTTAGGAATTTTCCACCTTATATATGTATTATATTCCCAAGTAGCACGTAATATTACAGTAACATTACCAGGTAATATTACAGTAATATTACTGTAACATTATAATGTCCACCCGATGGTAATATTACCGACCGATGTTATTGTAATATTACCATCGGGCGGACATGTTAATCTTACAGTAATATTACAGTAACATTACCTGTTATTATTACTGTAATATTACTGTAACATTACCTGGTATTATTACTGTAATATTACTGTAATATTACGTGCTACTTGGGTTATTGATTAATTATTATTATTTCAAAGAATTGATTATAATTCTGATAAAAAATATACTCTGTAAATACTAACAAGTATTTTGCTCAAGAAAAATCTGTTTTTCTTTCGAATAGGCGGATGATAATGTCGATACAAAAAAAATATTTTAAATGCAAAATTGGCAAAAACAGAAGCTGCTTCTCTACCTACGATAACATCAATAACAATACCGAAACCCGCAATAATTGTAACTGAAGTTGAAAGAAATGTCCCAATAAGACCATCTGAGAAGATGAAAGAATTATCGGTAACTTATCTTTTCCTTTATTTTAATTCATATTATTCAAAGGTATTTTTAATGAAATGATTATGCTTATACTAGTTGGAAATTTTTTTTACAGATAAACATAAATAGAGCTGATTCTCAAAATGTTAATAAAATAGTAGCTGATATATTGGAAAAAGAAGAGTCTTCCAATTTAGAAAAAAATATTCAACCTGACGCTCTTTCAAATTTAAAACTTACAAAAGATGTTGACAATAATAAGGTATTATATTTTTACATATTTAATTAGTTAATACTTCTTTAAGAATTGCATTTATTTTTGTTATGTTTTTAGCTAAACATTTTTTTAATAGTTATAAAAATATTTTAAGATAATAAAATTAATTTTGATGCTTTTTAGGAAAATGAGATCAGTAAACTAAAACGTATTTTGAAAGAAAAAGATGTTGAGTTAAAGAAATATAAAAATGATGTATCAAAACTGAGGAAACAACTTGAAGATGAGATACAACAAAAAAATGACTTTCTTTTATTAAACATGGATTTACAAAGAACGGTTATTCGTCAATTTTCAAGATTAAATTGTAAATATTTATCAAATGAAATATTATATGTTTTTAATATTATGCTTCCTATTTTTTACATTTTATTAATAAAAAATTATTCTCTATAGCCAACTTGAAGGAGTTAACGAGTGAAGTTACGGACGTGGCAAATAAGTCAGGAAAGGACTGTTTGGATAAAGTTAGTGCCATTAAAGGAGATGAGGTAAAAATTAAACGAAAAAGAAATGACCTAAAAAATGCAATGCATTTATTTTTAAGAAAGGAAAATTTTTTTGACACGTGTCAATTTTTTATACATGTACTAAAATTTTAAGCAAGATTATTTGCATGTGTATATTTAATTTATTTCTGTTTTTTACAGATACATTTAGGTCGTAATGTGTGGATAAAAAAATATGCCTATGACGCTATTAAGGGAAAATCCCGCATTACTGTACCCCTATTTGTGAAAGAAATTGCTTTGGCTGTGTTTGGTGCGGACACTCTTTTAGCTAGCACGGTTACTGGCAAGCAATCAAATAGGTCCAAAAGTAAGGATGCAGAGCAGGATTTACAGAAGCTGGATCCTGTTAAATTAATGGCTATTATGGGTAAGAAAAAATAAAATATAGAAAATATAAATAAGAAATTTTAAGATTTAAAAAAATTCCTTCTTTCCAAGACGGACAGAAATTTTATTTTAAATTACATAAAAAATATTTATAGATATAACTTTCCACTGGGTCAAGGAAGAATTGAAGAAAAGCGTCACAGAGGCTGAATTGGCAAAAGCGAAGGTTGGACACTATATTTCACATAAAATCAGTGAAATGAAAAGGGGCATTAAAAAATGCGAGGAGTCGATTATAGCTGCAGGTACGAATGTTTTGTTTCATCACATTAAAATATCTCATTATTTTAATGATAGAAGTATAACCGAAAGAGTGATATATAAAAAGACATATTTTTACAATTATTTATTTTAGGTAATGGAGCAGCACAAAATGAAAGTGACCATGAAAAGGAAATTAGTCAAGAAAAGGAAATTAATCAAGAAAAGGAAATTAATCAAGAAAAGGAAATTAAACAACAAAAGGAAATTAAACAACAAAAGGAAATAAATCAAGAAAAGGAAATCAATCAAGAAAAAGAAGTGGAAAATATTACTGACAATAATATATTATCAGATAATTTTAATAGCGGTAGTGAATTTGACGACTTAACGGACAGTGACGAAGACAACGACTGTAATAATGACAATGAAAATGACAATTACCAAGATCCCTTATTTATCGATCCCTTGAACATGGACGACAATTTGTTTAATAAAAATAATATGTAATAGAGTCATTAATTTTATTTATTTAAATATTATATTAAGAAGAATTATAAATAAAAACTTATACAAAACAACTGAAACGTCCAGGATTAATTTCTGTAAAAAAATTATTAAATTTCATTGACAAAAAATACATTCATTTTGCTAGAGTTTCTATAAAAAATAATTGATAGAATTTTATACAATATACACAAATTTGCAGATTTCAAAATGTGATTGAAAAGTATTAAAATTTTATCTATCAAATTCTGTGAAAAATAAGTATCCATTTTGATAGATTTTCTATCAAAAATAATTGATAGAATCAATATACACAAATTTGCAGATTCAAAAATGTGATTGAAAAGTATTAAAAGTTTTGTCTATCAGATTCTGTGAAAAATAAGTATTCATTTTGATAGACTTTCTATCAAAAATCATTGATGGAATCTTATTCAATATACATAAATTTATGGATTTAAAAATCGCGGATTGAAAAGTATTAAAATTTCATCAATCAAATTCTATAAAAAATAATTATTCATTTTGATAGACTTTCTATCCAAAAATATTGATAGGATTTTATACAATCTACATAAAATTGCGGATTCAAAAAACGGATTGAAAAGTATTGAAATTTTTTTCTATCAAATTCAATCAAATTTTTTAAGCAGGGTTATTACTTATGACGAAGTTTATTTTTCACTTCGGACGTTGTGTTTTTGGCGAGTAAAATTATATGACGCATGTTAAAATACTGTATTTTTGTAACTGTGTGTATAGATGGGTAGCCTCGCTATATCTATTTAGGTGTAACCGTACCCTTAGGCCTTATCCCTCGAAAGGTCAACGCAGAATAGAAACGTAACCATAATCGCAATCGTAAACTGAAGAATGATTTAGAGAAGGATTGTCATATATTGTTGTTCTTCTCTTACTAATTCTTAAGTTTGCGATTGCGATTACGCGGTTATTACGTTTTATTGTGCTTAGGCCCTAACTTTTAGAAAAAAAGAAACAAATAGTGGATGATCAGCTAGCTATCTCTCTTGGCTCGATATATAGTTCAGTGAATTTACATTAGCCCTTTTCGAATTGGGATTTTTAGCGTATACTTGATAAAGTGTATACTCGGGAAGTATGCAATGTCCTTGTTTTTCCGTGCGAAAAAAAGGACACTGCATACTTGCCAAGTATACACTTCATCAAAAGTGTGACAAAAATCTCAAATCGGAAACCAGATTACTTTACGATACGAAGCCATCTATCGGCGGGCTTCACCGCGTGATGCCGTCTCACCATTGTAGGCATTGAAGAAATTCCGGACCCGTATATACGACCATGGTGCTTGTTGACGGCAGTATAAACAATCTGTTTAATTTAAATGGATTAAACTTATGTCTTTAAAATCTAAATGTATGTTTTTATCATATATACATTATTTTTTATAATATGGTGGGTAGAAATGTTGTATATTATCTAAATTAATGTGTTGAAATAGTGATATAAAATTTTTAATAATTCTAATGTTATACCCTGGAAATCTGTAAATTTCGAAATGTTTACATAGGAATGTAAAATCACAATTTTATTTATAAGAAACTCAATCAAATCTTATATACATCAAAAATACTTATATTTTTATATCAAAATATTTGTATTAAAATTCTCTGAAAATCTTTCAGTTGGTAAGTGTAGTATATTTTCATATCAATGTTTTTGACTAAAAGTCTATCATCCGACCATTCTTATGTTTTATTATCACTGATGTAAATTCTATTAACACTTGGTCTATTTAAATTAATAAAGTTAATTAGAAGAAATTTTAATTATTGATTTAAAGTACATTCTGTTTAATTTTAAATTCTTAGAAAAGATAAATAGCCCAGTGAGTTTTTACCGGTTGAGAATTCAAACAAACTGACCAACTCATCTATTGAATTTGTACTGACGAATTGAAAAAAATTAAAGCTGAAAGGTTTGTTCATTGAATTAGTACGAACAGAGAGTTTGGAAGTTAAATACAACTTTGCCGAATTCAGGAGAATTGCAACATAGTTCAAATTCGAAATTGCGGCTAAGCGAGATTCACTGAAGCCTAAGGTGTATTCATTTCAATTCAACTGAATTAGTTTTCATTTACTGGGAAAGTTTAAAAATTTCAGGAAAATATAAATTTATTGAATTTTAGCCTGAACTTTTTGATATGAAATTTTATATTTTTGTTCTAATTAGAGACCATAGTTAGCGTTTAAAGGGACTTTCTGATTTCAAAATTCCAAAAAATCTATTTTTTTGCTTAAAACTGCTCCTTAGTATCATAAAATTACTGTTCCCAAAGATGTTTTAAAAAGTATGTAAAAAAACAAAAGTTGTATTAAAAAATTGTTTGATAGTCTGGCTTAATGCATGGCTTTTCAGGAAATCAACAAAATCAATTTTACAAAACCAAAAATCATTCGATTTCATATTTAAAAAACTTGAGAATAAACCTTTCAAATTTTATATTTCTGCATCCCGTTCTACATACAAGGGTAAGTTGCCATAAAAACAGTGCATTTCGCGATTTTTTAAGGGAAAAATACATAGAAAACAATAACCTTCAAAATTTCGTTTTCAGGTTTATTGTCCGGAATTCATACAGAAAATTCATCCTGAATTTTAAAAAATTTTACTTCAGATAATAAGTGTAAAAGTCTATTCAAATTTCCGTGTGGAATATTCTATTATTAATTCTGTATATATTTTTAAAAAATGGGCAAGAATTAAGATTAAATTAAGGGCGAATTCTGTTTCAACTGTTAAAACTCCACACAAAATTAATGTAAGAATTTAACACGAATTACAAACGATTTTTACATGAATTATTTTCACACGTAATTTTAGTCACCGTAATTGATACACCCAAAGTGATACAAACGCGTCGTATAAGAAAATCACCGTATTAGTTTTAATTACTCATATTTATTTAAATAATCGATTTTCATATTGTTTAAATTTTTTTAATATCTAATTAACATTATCTTTTATTTTAATAAGTCTTCAATTAATTTTCACTAATAGAAATGTCAAATTGTCTATTTCAAAGATGTTTTGATTCGAATCGCGTAGTAATTAGTGTATTTACCTTAATTAAATCTATTAGCCATAAAAAAGTTGTTTTTTAGGGTAATGAAATTTGATATTTCCTTAATGATCAAAATATAAAAGAAACATTTTCCAACGATAGATACTTAGGAGTACCAAGATTCTGGTTTTTAGTACAATATCGGTACATTCTTTAAATTTATGCAGTTATTATAGCGATAACTTCTTATGGGTACCTTGATTGTTGTATTTACTGCAATATAGGTACAAAAATCCAGGTATATATTTATATATGTATATATTTTTTGACAGGGATAGCTTCTTATTAGTACCTTGATTTCTATTTTTAGTGCAATATCGGTACAGAAATCATACTGTATATGTATATGGGGTAAAATTCCTGGACTAAGTAAAAACAATAGTTGATCGGTTCGGACAGAAACTAGCTTATAGCCCTAGACATGAGCACCAAAATCTTAAATCATTAGTAGGTTTTGTAAAAAATTTTTGTTGAGGGAGAGGAAAGAATTTTTTTCAATTCGTTCGAAATTAGTGTTAAATTGTTCTAACTTTTTGAAACAGAATTAATTTGCCCTTATTTAAATCGTAATTCGTTGTTTTAGTCGAAAAAACAGATACAGAATTTTTAAAAACAGTTCTTTGGAATTCTAAAGGAACTCTGCCCTCAATACCAGATGTAAAATGTTTTAAAATTTAGGTTTAATTCTCTGTACGAATTCCCGACTGTATTTGAAAGAGATTATGCTTGTAATTAGGGCTATCAATTTTACTTTTTAAATTCGTACAAATATCTTTACGATATTCCTACGAATTTATAACGAATTTATTTCCTAATTTTATGTAGGTCACCTGTGAGAAATTAGCTAATAATTCCCCACATGTTATTTTCTGTAAAATTTTTAACAAAAATTTATGACTACTTTTCTACAAAATACTTCCTTCACTACTATCGGATTTCTAACAAAAATTATTTTAAAAATTCTTCAGTATTACCCACGAATATCGTATGAAATTCGTATGGAAAAGTGGTCAAATTTAAAGAGAATTTTACAGCAAAAACTACGAGCACAAGTTCTTTCAAAAAAACGTCCGTAATTGGTACAGAAAATTGAATCTATAAATTTTAGAAAATTTTACCGCAGATATTACGGTTACAAAATTCAAATTTCCGTGTGGATTATTTTTTCAGTAATTCTGTTTCTATTGAAAAAATATTGAATATCAGGCGAATTCTGTTTCAACTTTTAAAGCACTATACAAAATTCTTGTAGCAGCCAAAATTAAAGAGGCTGTGGCAAAAGAATTGCAAGGCCTGTTTATTTAACTGAAATTTTGCAATGTATTATACTATTATTACACACTGTAAAAAAAGTAATAAAACAGTACACATGTTAGGTATCAAAATAGAACCAATTGACCATTTAGTACCTCAAGTCAGTATTAAGATTATTCCTTTCTTTTTACAATGATGTTATGTTTAATATAACTGTTGCAAAGTGATTAAAAATATTTTCTTTAATCTGCTGTAATACAATTACTAATAAAGATGCATATTTGAACAATTATTAATTAAATTAATTGACGTCATATTTTTTATCATGGCCGTAATTAAAACATTTTTAAGATTTCCATTAAATTTAATAACGTTGAGCAAAGTATCTTCAAAATACACATAATTTTAGTCACCGTAATTGATACACCGAAAGTGATACAAACGCGCCGTATTAGAAAATCATTTATCTTAGTTAAATTTATTAGCCATAAAAATATTGTTTTTAAGGCAATTAAAATTTTTATTTCCTTAATGATCAAAATATAAAAGAAACATTTTCCAACGATAGATACATAGCAGTACCGAGATACTGGTTTTTATTGCAATATCGATACAATCTGTTAAGTTTATGCAGTTTTTCTAGCGATAACTTCTTAGGGGTACCTTGATTGTTGTATTCAGTTTATTATAGGTACAAAAAATCTAGTATATATTTATATATATTTTTTTTGACAGGGAAAGCTTCTTATTAGTACCTAGATTTCTAAATTTAGTGCAATATCGGTACAGAAATCAGATTGTATATGTATATTGGGTAAAATTTCTGTTCTAAGTAAAAAGAATTAATCTGATAGCGCTGAAACTTGCATA